GCCCGGAAGCAGCGGTGCGAGAGGCCGGCAGACGAGCTCTGGGCCGCGCAGCCCCATCCGGGGGGTCCTCCTGGAAATAAGCACGTGAATGGTGGTTGCCATTCGGGCGCAGAGCCAGAAAGGCGTTCACTACCTGTTAGTAAAGGAAAGTGTTGGTGAGGCGCCGGCCCTAGTCGCCTGAAGCAGCGTGTTTTTGCAGACCGAGGCCCACGTGCAAATGCAGACTTCATTCATTCATGCCACAAGTGTTTGCTTCTGCACACGTGTTTATGGAGCGCATGACGCATGCCGCCAGATTCTTGGGGAATAGAGCTGCCTAGATTGTTCTCGGCTCTCAAGAATAATAATGGCACAAACTTTGATAATGCTGTACAACTTACAGCTCGCAGCTATTCTCTCGTTTACTGCTCCTAACACTCCTGTGAGATGGGTATTTTCTTTTTGCAGACCAGAAAACTGAAGCTCAGCCTGGGCCAGAGCTTGTGGGAGACGCCACACTGGTGTCAGCAACCTAAAACGTGGTCTCCAGGTGTGCTGAGGCTGGGAAGCCCCTGCACAGTAAAGGATGGGTTGTTTCAAGTGTACCCACGAAGCTCAGGAACGCTTCCTCCCTGCCCCCCAATTCCCAGAACTAGTTGTAAGAACTTCCCTCCAGGAGGCGGTTCTGAGCTCTGTGTGGGTGGCCTAAGGGTTCCTGCCTCCAGGACTGGGGCAGCGGCCTCCATGGAGATGTTGACCCCTGGGGTGACTTTATCCTGTAGTGGCTCTTAACCTGAGGAGAGAAAATTCAAGTGAATTTGGATGACAAAAAAAAATTTACATTTTTTTTAGCCTCTGACATTTAGCATTTCCTTTCATTATGAATGAAGGATATCCCACAGTGACAGTAGGATAAGTATCTACGACTCCAGTAGTCTCCAGTAGAACCCACAGGTTCTTTACATCACATCACAGTTGTTGCAAATAGCTTAAATTACAGTAGTTATTAAGTAGACCCTCAGCTAGATCTTACGTCAGATGTCAATTAAAAAGTATGTGTACTGCGGGGCTGGCATGGCTCCGTGTGACCTATGAACCAGGAGGTCATGGTTCAATTCCCGGTCAGGGCACATGCCCAGGTTTCGGGCTCCATCCCCAGTGTGGGGCCTGCAGGAAGCAGCCGATAGATGATTCTCTTTCATCATTGATGTTTCTATCTCTCTCCCTCTCCCTTCCTCTCTGAAATAAATAAATAAATAAACAAATAAATAAAATATATATTAAAGTATGTGTATTGCTATAGTACAAATTTTTAAACACTGTGTTAAATGTATTTCAATATCATTGGTTTTCATGTCTTTTATGCATTTAAGAACCTTGTTCTGAAAAGGGGTCTGTGTCATCAGCAGCCTGTCAAAGGGGTCCCCGGGGACAAAAATGGTTGCCCTAGCTGGTTTGGCTCAGCGGACTCAAGGGTCCCGGGTTCGATTCCAGTCAAGGGCATGTACCTGGGTTGCGGGCACATCCCCAGTAGGGGGCGTGCAAGAGGCAGCTGAATCGATGTTTCTAACTCGCTATCCCTCTCCCTCTCCCTTCCTCTCTGTAAAAATATCAATAAAATATATTTTTTAAAAAAAAATGGTTAAGACAGTGCTAGGCCAGAGGCTCCTGGGGTCCCTGCATGGGAAACAGGAGCACAGAGCAGTCCCAGAGAAGAGCTGGAGCTCTGTGTGTGCACGTGGGGGTGGGAGTGAGGTGCCACACTGGTATTTGTACCAAGGGAGCAGCCGGTGCTAAAGAGAAAAGCCACCTGAACATCATCAATGGCTCACAGGTGGTGACAGCAGCCAAAGTGAGTCCCTCAGCATAGCTGGGGGTAACTTACCTGCCAATCAATAACTCTAGTCATATGCAACCAAAAGTGGGATGCAGCAGGTTCCAGTTTAATAGACAGTCTTGAAGGTCCATATTTATAGCAATAAAATATGGAGTGCTACTGAATTGAGCAATGCTGTGTAGGAGAAGGAAGGAATAAAGAAAAGCAAGGGTGAGAGACTTGTTCTGGAGTGATAACCTTGTGATAACAAATGTGTGATAACCTTGATGAGGCTGAGAAACTGTTGAAGACTATAAACTAGTAAACTAGGAAATATCTGCAATATGTTTTTCCATGCAAGTTGGTTGCAAGTTTGCCTTCCCTCTACATGTTAAACATGTACTATTCGAGAGAGACAGGTCCAAGCTATTATAAAGCACAATGAACCTCACAGGATGGTACTCAGGGGAGCCACTGATAGAACTGTCATAGTTGAAGTACTTCTGAGCTGGTTCATAAAAGCCTTGCCCTGTGTTCCCTAAGTTCAACTACATCCTACCCCCCCGCCACCACCACTCCCCTAGGACACACCAGCTTCCCCACAATGCAGCAACTAAGGGGCTAAGCCCTTAAGCCCTGGTACAGCAAAGGCTCCTTCTGATTGGGTGTCCTTGTGTCGCACCAGCTGTTAACTATACTGAATATCACCCCTTTCTTCCAAAAGTCACTTTCTTCCCAAGATATTTAGTAGATGATGTTTGACTAGCCCAGAGTGATCTACTTGATCCCAAATACTGACTGTGCTCAAGTTGAAGTCTTAAACAATGTTAAATTTAAAGATAGCAATAAAATATGGAGTGCTACTGAATTGAATGATGCTGTGTAGGAGAAGGAAGGAATACAGAAAAGCAAGGGGGAGAGACTTGTTCTGGAGTGAGCTGAGTGCCCATCACATGAAAAACAGCCACACGGCCACCTCTACCCAGCTCCTGCCTAGGGTGCCAAACATACTTGAAGTTGAGTGTAACTCAAGGACTCGACAATAATCTCATTGAAGACGGTCAGCTCTTCCTGACTGATTAACTGTAACAATAAAGTTTTTGTGAATCAGTTGTCATTTCCGTGGCACAGACATAAGTGAGAAGTCTGACTAAAGGGAGATGCTTCAGGATCTACTAGGACAATGTCAGTCTCTGGGGCCAAAGGAATGAAGGAGTCAAGAAACCTAAAAAGGATGAATTAAAAGCCCAGGAAGGGAGGTACATAGTTTAAATGAGAAAAAAAAATCTGGGACAAGAAGACACTTGCCTGGAACCAAAGGAAGAGAGATAGCTTGATAATAAAGATGTGCTGACTATATAGGGCATGGTGTGTGTGTGTGTGTGTGTGTGTGTGTGTGTGTGTGTGTGTGTTGTGTGCACGCGCACGCACACATGCACACGCATGTATGAAAAAACAACCATGGCATGTTCCCAAGAAGGCGGATTATTAGAAAACAAACAAAAATGATGATCACATCATAGAAGAGACCTACAAACTGGAAATTTTAAATAAAAAGGCAGTGCAAGCTATGAATAGAGTTATTTGCTCAGATGAGAGCTTCTGAATTTTTAAATTTCCCAATGCACTTTTCAAAAGAAAAATATTTCTTTATCTCACCTTTGGTAGGGGAGCTTTCAAGTAATTTTAAACTATTGGTCACCTGTGGAGAAGTCTGAGGAACTCACGTCATGCCTGATATAATTTCCATTTCCTGGGACCTACTTTAATCATTTTGCCATCAGTTTCACTGTTACGTT